AGGGAGAGGGTGGTGGAGTGGGGTGTGTGAGGGAGGGGGTGGGGTGTGTGGGGGGTGGTGGGGTGTGTGGTGGGGGAGGTGGTGAGGTGGAGAGTTAACAGGGGAGGGTGGTGAGGTGGTGTGTGTGTGAGGGAGGGTGGTGGGGTTATGTGAGGGATAGTGGTGGTGTGGTGAGGAGGGTGGTGAGGTGGGGTGGTGGGGAGGGTGGTGGGGTGTGGTGGTGAGGGTGGTGAGGTGGGGGTGTGTGAGGGAGGGTGGTGAGGTGGGGTGTGTGGGGGAGGGTGGTGGGGTGGGGTGTGTGAGGGAGGGGTGGTGGTGGGGTGAGTGAGGGAGGTGGTGAGTGGGGTGTGTGAGGGTGGTGGGGTGGGGTGTGGCAGGGGGAGGGTGGTGAGGTGGGGTGTGAGGGGAGGGTGGTGGGGTGTGTGGGGAATAGTGGTGGTGTGGTGGAGGAGGGTGGTGAGGTAAGGAGGGAGGTGGTGGAGTGTGGGGTGTGTGAGGGAGGGTGGTGAGGTGGGTGAGTGGGGAGGTGGTGAGGTGGGGTGAGTGAGGGAGGGTGGTGAGGTGGGGTGGTGGGGGAGGGTGGTGGGGTGGTGTGAGGGTGGTGGGGTGGGGTGTGTGGGGGGGAGGGGGTGTGGGGTGGGGTGTGTGGGGAGGGTGGTGAGGGTGGGGTGTGTGGGGGGAGGGTGGTGGGGTGGGGTGTGTGGGGGAGGGTGGTGGGGTGGGGTGTGTGAGGGGGGAGGGGTGGTGGGGTGTGTGAGGGATAGTGGTGGTGTGGTGAGGGAGGTGGTGAGGGTGTGGTGAGGAGGTGGTGGGAGTGGGGTGTGTGAGGGGAGGGTGGTGAGGTGTGAGGTGAGGAGGTGAGGGAGGGTGGTGGTCTGGGGTGAGTGAGGGAGGGTGGTGAGGTGTGGTGAGTGAGGGAGGGTGGTGAGGTGGGGTGAGTGGGGGAGGTGAGGGAGGGTGGTGAGGTGTGGTGAGTGAGGGAGGGTGGTGAGGTGGGGTGAGTGGGGGAGGGTGGTGGAGGTTGGGTTGTGTGAGGCAGGGTGGGTCAGGACAGCTTGAGACCAGTTAGGTAGGCAGACTCACGGGTAAGGAGCGTGTGTGTGTGTGATTTGTGTGTAGGTGTGTGTGATCTGTATTTATGTATGTATGTATGTATGTATGTATGTATGTATGTATGTATGTATGTATGTATGTGCTTGCGTGCAAGAGTGAGACAAGGCAAGGAGCCAGGACCACGTGGTCACTGCAATAGGGGGGCGGCCAACACACCACGTGGTTATTTATAAGCAAAATTGTCCCACATGTTTATAGAGGTTTGGTATGAATATATACATTCCCTGTGTACAGTTCAACATGCATACTTGTAAATACTCCGCAGGTATATTGTGTGCATACTGTGACTTTTTTCCTGGATTCATACTAACAATGGTAAACAGTAAGGTAATTTGACCAAGATTAGTTAACAAAGTCACCAGAAGCTTATTTCCAGTAAGAGTCCTTTGCTTAGGCTCCAGTAGTCATCAAAACTTCTGTCCATCACCATAACACACACACACGGCTATATAAATGACAGCCCAAAACGACAAAACAAAAAACAACTTTAACATTTGTTACCGAGTACACTTTTTCCTGCTTAACTTCTATGCCATTCAACAAGTTAACTCAAGACTATTTCCTGTGGCTACCTTGACTCAGTGACATTCCTGGGAGGTAGAGGAGGAGTCAGCGGCGTGTTCCTAAGGCGGGGGTGTGGAATCAAGACAGGTCATACGGCGTGGCCATCCATCCCCACCAGGAAATACCAAACTCCTCCACAACCGTTCGCTTCCAAGGATGAGACCAGAGGGGCAAGGTGGACAACCCGACCCCGCTCCCTGGCGTATAGAAGAGACCAACTCAATGTTATCTTATTAGTTAATGTGTACAACTTTAACGTGTGAGTGTGTGTGTGAGTGTGTGTGTGAGTGTGTGTGTGTGAGTGTGTGTGTGTGTGTGTGTGTGTGTGTGAAGTGTAGGTGTTATGAGAGTAAACTGAAGAGGGTTGTGAGGTGGGTGAGAGTGGCCAGCTGGCGCGCGTCCACCACCACCTACCATCTGGCGCCCACCGTCGCAACATCCGCCGTCTACAGCTTGTCTGCAGTGCCCCTCCTCCCAGGGCACGCCCACGCTACGCTACCCCATTCACCTCTGTCACCGCCTTTCCTTATTTTGACAAAGCAATGTCAAAACAAACATTTGATTCCATGTCATCCTGAGGAGTGTTTATCAACATTATCATGACCAGTATTCCGGTAAGTGGTGGTGGAGGCGACACGTTGACTGCTAGTTGAGCCACCGTCAAGGCCGACACGACTGGGTTACACACACAACCTTGGCTGCTTACATCCTCATCTCAGCTTCACCAAAACTACAAGCTTACACAGCTAAGTTAAACTCTGCCTCACCCTGACACCACAGCTCTATCAATATGCATTTTCAAGATAAATCATAAACTTATTAAGTTCCCCGTTGGCACGTAACAAAGATCATACACCAGCATATTAATAACCTCTGTAACAACAACTGGGTGGACCTAATACCAGCAGATGCTCACATTATGTTAAGATAAGCTGAAGGGCTTAAGATCAGGCTTGACAGATAACAGGAAACCTAAACATTTCTAGTCAGCAATAATCTAATTTGTTACCTTTTACAGGAACCTACACTGACAGGCACAGTAAGAACCACACCATTTTATTTATCATCAGCGAGGTAGTGAGAGCATCTAAATGGATGACATCTACCTGTACACACACAAGCGTCGACAGCACACAAATTAAGGTCGGCCGTGTACACACAGCTGGACACAGACTTAACACTGCTTAAGGTGACGACGGCATCATGTGTGAGAAGCCAAGCACAGAGCTTTATTACCACCAACACTTACCATGTTTAGCTTCCGAGAAAAATACTTACGTGAAAACAATAAACACCAAAATTTTCACACACAAAAATAAAGATAATTTCAAAGGACAAAAAAATAATCATACTATTCTATAAAAATATAAAAATCATAGCGAATTCCTTACATTTTAACTCTCTGGATTGAGTGAGTGGGGAAAGTGTGTGTGTGTGTGTGTGTGTGTGTGTGTGTGTGTGGTCCGGACATGTTAGGCCTCACACGGTGGCGGGCAGTCAACGTAAGCTGCACAAGCCACGCGGTTTCGAGACAAAACGGCCCCAGTCGAAAACGGCCCCACTCTAACCAAAACGGCCTAACTCTAACCTAACCAAAACTCAGCATGATAGCAGCCATGTTGACAGTCTGAGTGGGGCCGTTCTGGTTTGGGCCGTTTTCTCCGGCTACCAGCCACGCATACCTCGCGCCTTGCCCACCACCACCACGCCAGGTACACCAAGAGGATAACACTACACTACAACCCACGCTAGGCTAGGTACACCCTACCACCACACCAAGATACATCACAAGGCTACACTCCGGTACATACACCCACCAGGATACATCACAAGGCTACACTCCGGTACATACACCCGATACAAAACACCTCAGGTATAGGAACACCCATAAGGTACGGTAATTCTCACAACATTAAGGTACTTCAACCCCTCCCCTCTCATTTACGCCATATATATATATATATATATATATATATATATATATATATATATATATATATATATATATATATATATATATATATATCACACACACCTCATCGCACCGTACTGTACACCTGCCTATCAGTACACCTGGGCATTTCATTACTAATTAGCTACCTTCTCGATGGTGGTTTCATCTGTGACCGTAGCGGTTTTTAATAATGCAATAAAATATAAATAACCAACAAAACCAACATAAATAATAATAACAATAATAAACTTTTCAGGTATAAAACCCTAATGGTACTATGGTTTAAGGAGGCCGAAAAGGTGCTGACCTCCGGACTCGAAACTATTCATCAGCAGGAAGCGGACTAACTACTACTCACTGGAACCCACCCACTGTAGATAGATGTCTGTCCACCACAGTATTGCACCATCCACGACAAGCACACATCAACATTACGTGTGTGTGTGTGTGTACAATGTTGACACGGTAGGTACACCCGGAAAGGCCACAAGAAGCATGCGAGAGTTACATGTCAATAAGCAATGTTCTAGCTTGGTGGAGGTTGTCACGTTCTCCCTCCCTCTCAAGTGTTGTACTGTACCCCAGACCCAGGCAAGCATCAAGACCTCGCTGTTGTACTGTATTGTCAACTTCCGCCTAAGACTATGGAAGCGTGTCTCCGGTTTTATCACTAACGCAACATGACTAGCACTTGATAAAAGGACAACAAATCAACACACTCGCCCACAACACTATACTCACCACCAACACACAATACAACACACTTGGTGCAACTCTCAACACTTCTTTCTGAAAACCATCGAAGTATAAAACGAACTTAACAAAACGAGATTAGATTAAGCGTGTGTTTGATCACGTGAAAAACAATCCAATGCAACTACTATCAACCACCCAAAGCTATAATACTACAGCTTGGTTTAAACCCTACAAGAATTCCGTGCGTGAGGGAGGTTGTAGAATAGCATCACAATTTGGGGTCAACAAGTCGGTGTGTTGTCTGAGAATAATGATGACAACACGTTCTCCCGGGATAATCCACTGACAGCCCCCGGCCTCGTGATCACACCAACCTACTGAGGGATTGTGCGGGTTTTTTATCCAACATGTATTAAAACTTTGTATCTTTAAACCATAGAATCAACATAAACACGACAACTATAACTGTTATAACTGGGGGGATATAAACCAACATAAACATGACTATAAGTAGAGGGAGGATGCCTGTAGTGGGTTGTAGCTATGGTTGTACCTATACCAGAGAGGATATTACTATAAGTGTTGCAACAGTATAGTGGTGTGTGTACGGGGGGGTGGGGTGTACATACAACCTCATGACACAGGGAGATGTATTGTACAGCACACTACTTACCTGGCAAGCACTATCTCACTTCCTTTAACTCCCCGTGCCGTCGTCCACTTTACCACCAATCCTGCAACACAAAAAAAAACACAACTTTGAAACAAATATTGTTAGTAGTAGTCACGTAAGTTATTCTTATACAAAGTAAGTTCGACCGAAGTGTACATTTTTCTTGCATTTAATTACCTTAGTATTAGGCCTCTTATTAACACAGGTAAACAAATACATATATATATATTAAGGGTATACAATTGTCATGTGGAAAAAGCTCAACTCCTCAGGAGGCGAAATGATAAAAGGAAACTGCAAGTGACGTGGAGGAAAAAAGTTGCGGTAGTACGAATAAGACAGAGTCCGTGTATCCTCGTTTGGAGGATTTGGGGATGACTCAGTTTAGAGAAGGACTCTGTGTGGGGTCCAAAAAGTGGGGTATGAGGAGAGGGGGCAGGAGACGAAGAGAGCAATGGAGACCAGGGTATTGTGGGAGAGAAAGAGAGCGCGGAAGAAAGGTGGAGGAGGAAAAAGCAACACGTGTAATGAAGAGCTCTAAGATAAATGGGATCCTGGAAGAACACGACTATAGAAGGGTGGGTTCGTAGAGAGGCAGTCAGAGGCGAAAGCTGCAGTAGTGGCATCAACAAGAGAGTGCGAGAGTACGTAGAGAGTGGCGGGGATTATACAGGGTGCGGCACGTGGACGCTGCTGCCACTATACCCACACCAACAAAGACCTAACTACTAGTGTGGGAAAAATGACAACAGCAGCAGGTAAGTTAGTTGCAGGTGTGGAGGGGATTACAAGCGTTGGGTGCGGCATGAGGGCGACAGATGACGTGTATGGTGGAGAGAGGCAGGAAGGATGCAGCCACACCATCACTCAGTGGTCCAGCCGGTCGGCAGGGGAGGAGAGCAGACCTGGGTACGCTTCTTCCCTCCTCCATAACGCCTCCTCCTCCTTAATCCTCCCCCCCCCCCTCGTGTCTAGACATTTCCCAGACGACGCTAAAATAAATTAACTCTTACAGGACCCACACAAAGTAGGCCAAATTACCCCAACTTACAAGAAAACTCAATAAAAAGTGAACACACACATTTACCTCCCAACTACTGTATTTCTAAAAAAAAAAAAATCCGAGAAAAAATGTACACGAACACCTTCCTTCATTTTCTTTTACTTTCAATTTAAACTTAGAAAAGACTGAAGTTACAGATCCAATACACACACACACACACACACACACACACACACACAGTAAGCCTTTGTAAAGTACTCGCATTTCACTTAAAAAAATATATATAACGTGACGTGTTTTGGTAACTGTCTCGAGTATGTGGGTGTGAGAGGATATGGAATTGACTTTTAAGAAACTTCCTGAACTTAATCAATACAGTATTAAGGTGAAGTGTGTAGATAAATGTCAGGTTAGCGGAGGGAGGGTGTGTGACTCAGCTACATCCTGAGCTGCAAAACTAAAACGTGATTATGACAGGAGGAGGAGGAGGAGGAGGAGGAGGAGGAGGAGGAGGAGGAGAAGAAGAAGGAGAAGAAGGAGGAGGAGGAGGAGAAGGAGGAGACGAAGGAGAAGAAGGACCTGACTCTTAGCAACATCCAGATCACTTTGTGGTTGACGGAAACATCTTCCGCTTGGCTCAACACTAGCTGGTCTCTCTCTCTTCCTCTACGCTCTTCTCCCTCCTTTACACACACTTTCTATCTCTTTCTCCCACCCACTCTCTCTTTTCCCCCTCCTCCTCCTCTCCTTTTTCCTCTATTCTCTTACACCCTCTCTCTTTCTCCCTCCTTCACTCTCTCTCCCCACCACATACAGACGGGATGCACCACCACACAGACCTCACCTTTTCTTCCCTCACTCTCAGTTTGTGGCCGAGGGATGATTATTAAGATCCTAGAAGAGCAAGTGATTCACAGTAGATGACCCCCCTCCTCCCCTCCCCAAAAAAAAAGTCGGGTTAGGTTAGATTTGGTTAGGTTAAGTTTGATTTGGTTTAAGAGAGAAAAATAGAGATAAATAATTAAATAAAGAGATAATTAAAGAGAAAAGAAATAAAAAAGAATGAAAAGAGGAAGACAGAGAAAAAGAGAAGGAAAGTCGTGATAAACTAGGTCACAACAGGACGACATCAAAGAGGGCCGGGGTCGAGCAGGTTAAGACGCCCCGAGACACGCAGGAGGATAATGCCAAGGACTGAATCCAATACTTGATATACGACAAGATGGGCTCACCAATCACAATAATAATAATAACAGCAATAATATTTACTACTACAACTACTTCTACGACTACTACTACCACTACCACTACGACTACTTCTTCTACTACTATACTAGGAAGCTATAAGGTAGAGCCAAGAAGGGCGAGATACAAGGAGGAAGATTATTATGGTAGTGAGAGAGTTTTGAGAGAGGGAGGCAGGGGGTTTAGAAGATAGGGAAAACCAGGGAGGTAGGGAGAGAGAGAGAGACAGGGTGACGAAAGTAGGGAGAGGGGGAAATAGGGTGACAGGGAGGAAGGGAGAGACAGGAAAATAGGGTGACGGGTAGAAAACACAGCAGGGAGATAAGGGTGGCACGGAAGCAGGGAGGCAGGAAAATAGGGAGCGAGATAGGTTATTAAGTAGGCAGGCAGGCAGGTAGGTAAGCAGGGGAGGGTGGGGGGTGGAATAGGGGGTTCATGCGGGAGCCCCAGACAGACCTAGTGGGGAGGTGAGCCAAGGCAAGGATCAATAGTAGGAGAGGCCCCATTGGGGTTCACAAACGCACAACACATACAACATACATACACACGCACAACATACATGTATACATACACACACAACATACATACACACACACAACATACATGTATACATACACACACAATATACATGCATACACAAACACACAACATACATGCATACATACACACACAACATACATGCATACATACACAAATATACATATATACATATATACACAATATACATGCACACACACACAACATACATGCATGCATACACTCACAACATACATGCATACACACACACACACACACACATATATATATATAACACAAACACACATTCATTAAATATTATATAGGGAAAGAAAAAGTTATCAATGAACAGTAAGCCAAGAGCGTTTCATATATCACATTAAAACAACAAAGTGCATCAATGAACAACCAAGCTAGCATTTATAGCAGTATTTAATTATATATCCCAGTGTAGAATATTTTATGGTCATTTTACATTCTTCATCCTTATAACACGAAGCTTCATTTCGAGTACTAATTCAACTCTTTGTTTTGGTTCACTGCCTCTAACCCACAGTATAGTACTCGTAAAACATAACACTCGAGGCTTCACACCTGCTGGAGTACTGTATAATTTTTGTTTTGTTTTATCATATCTAAGGACACACAGGTGATGGTGGTGGTAGTGACAGTGATGATGGTGGTGGGGTGACATGACTAAAAGAACGATGCAAGTTGTTATCTTATCACGGCAATGGACTCTCAACATATCGGTGTCCCAAGCAACTCAATGATGATAATATTACCGGGGGTTCACACTTGTTTACATACCTCAACAGATACCTAAGATTTAGTGTGTGTGTGTGTGTGTGTGTGTGTGTGTGTGTGTGTGTGTGTGTGTGTGTGTGTGTGTGTGTGTGGAGGATTAAGGACGTCCAATGCATCCACATGACTCCTGTATACCCTTTACACTTTATCACCCGGGGTTAACGTAATGGCTGGTGTCTCTACTTATTTATGTGATAATGTTGAAGAAATTTGGTGGAGGAAGTGTCGACATTTACTGTAACCTAGAGGAAGGAAAGGTAGAGGTTTAATAATATCACGGCTGGAGTGGGTAGGGGATGAGGGACGACGAGTTTACGTATCCAGAGTACAAGGTGTGTGTGTGTACCGACATAAACCAGTTCCACCCCTATCGGCTACACCTTATGTAATTTACGACATGTTGGTCGAGTTAATGACATGTTATACAAACCAGATGAATCCCGTGTGACATGAATACAAACTGCTACACTATAATCCCCACCATCCAACGTGCGCAAAACACAAACAGCAGCCATACCTTACATTCATGTTAACTTAAACACACACAGTTATGTAAGGTATGGGATAGAGAGAGAGTGGCAGAAGGTCCTTGCGTTGGGTGTATGGGAACAAGACCTGATTGGTCCCCCAATATCGGCCCCCAGGTTGTGACGCCGTAGTATAGGAACGTCCGATTCAAGGTCTTACCCCCCCCTCCCCACACCAGTGTTCATATATGGGCCGCTAAGCCTACCACACGTAACGCTAACCCTAATTACGTAACGTCATTGCACAACACATCACCTTCACCTGGAAAACACCTGCAGTCTTTATAAAACTCCGTAATGTTAACAGTTGCAAAGACATGGTGTAGCGGCCTCGAGGTAAGCTTGGGCCTGGGTGTGGGGGCCAGGGAGACAGGGACAAGTGGAAGGTGTGGGGGCGCCATGCTAAATCTGAAGTGAATGACTGTCTCAACCACCACAAGTGTCCTCGTTCTGTTCACCGCCACCACAGACGCTCCTACTCACAAATTCCCTCAAACGTTTTACGCCAACTTTATAAAGACAAAGAGACGAGTAACCAGCATTTGAGGGCGGGAGGAGAGTTTAACGTGTAAGTCTTCTACCCGAGGGCGGGGTGGCAGGAGACCCAGCACAAGACAGTCACCTTCTCACACACACACAGACTAGACTAACACGTGTTACTTCTGATTCGGCTAATCACTGCCATTATCTAACTTCATGTGTGGAGAAAGAGGCCCGACATACATACATCCGAACATGCAAGTACAGTGCCAACTACAGCGAAAACAAATGAAAGTCATCCTCTCAGTACGGATTTAGAGACTACATAAAACATCACCCACAAAGGGACAGGCTTATTTCACGTGAAGATTAAACACCCTAACGCTACATGAGGGGGTTGGGTTAGGTTAAGCTAGCGTTAGGGTGATTAAACATCAGATGAAACAAGCTGGGGGGAGGAGAGGTTAATCTTCAGGTGACCGCAACGCATATAGTAACAGTAGTAAGGAGTGTTTCTGTGTATTATCAGGCCGAGTGGGTACAATGCAGTCCGGGTCACTGTTTTGGCCCGGGACACCACCACCAGTTCAACCGGTAGTGATTGAGTCCCGAAGTTTACGATCAGGTGGAGACGACCCAGTGCCACCTTATCTCCTAGTGCGGGGGAAAACAACCTGGCAGTCAACAATGGTCTGTAGTTTGGCCTCCAGGACCCGCCTTTAAATGGTCACCGTTTATTAGGTTGGAGTCTTGAGCCATTAGGGAGATGGTCAGGGTTGTACATTGGATGATCTTGTGTTTACTTCGGATGATAGTGTGTAACTTAGGGTGTTGTTGTGTAATACAAGGTGTTGGTTGTGTAATTAAGGGGGATGATTTGCAACTTGTGGTAATACTGTATAATTAAGGGTGATGCTGGACAACTTGTACGGATAACCCCGACTGTACCAAAACCGCGTCGTGGTATGAGTGACGGAGGCAGTGGTCGAGTACAATGACACCGTCCAATCCACACAAGGTAACAACAAAAAGATATTCCCGGAATGAACTGACGTCACCATGTTCATAAAATGGCCGAGTCAGTTAAAAGATACCTACTGTACCTTCCAGATCCCGACACCTACCGTATCTACCAACCAGATCCCGAGGTAAAATTCACAATATCATGCTTGGGGATTTATATTTTTCCGGAGATATCCACAACACTAAGCTTTAAAGAGACAGTGACCGAGGATAAAGAGGAGTCAGTTGGTTGGAATAACATGTAATAAGGAGTCACGGTGAGTTGTCTGTGAGCTGATGTAAACTCTCAGAGTACGATGACTTGGCCAGGTGTGTTGTGTGTGTGGGGTGAGTGGGGGTGCAGGGGAGGAGTGTGAACGTACTGGATGATTGTGGGGTAGGAGGGAGGGAGGAAGGAACGGTTGTTGCACCTGTACCTCCTCATTCCTCCCTCCCTAACCGTTCAACACCACAAACCACTCCCAAACAAGTTATATTATATTAATAGAACATTATTACCAACATTTTGAAATAACGCTTAAAAATATTCAAGCTTGACAACTCTTCAGATATGTAAACAATATTACGGCATATATAATGTATTTATGACCATCGTCTATTATTTAAAACGTCACAATATTGAAGTACCATTACTGTCGATTATTTACAAACCATTAAACAAATAATTGTAATTACCCAAGTTTTGTGATCATCTACTGTTTGGATTAGTCACTATGTACAATTACGTCACGGTAAACAAAGGTTAAACACAGGTACGAGTACTGCGTCGGAGGACGACGTGACGCGGCAGTTTGTTTTGGTGGTGGTCGAGGAGCAACGGCTGGCCCGAGCATTGAACCCCTGTCCTTCACACGGCACTCACACCATCATGCCAGCAACACTATACAAACATCGAATCTATCCTCAAATATACACAACAATTGTGCTTGCTTAAGACTAACTCACCGAAACACAAATGTAACAAACTCGAGAACATAAAAAAATCTGAAGCAAGTTGAGTCAATGAACTGTGCGTTACGGGAAACTAACTGATGCTGCGTACAGTATGTACCACAAGATCACTGACCAGCGTAACTCTAAATACCGACGTGGCAAGAGACGGGTAGGCCTGGTGAAGAAGATACAAGGTCAAGGTACGAAGGACTTGACCCACGACTGCCACCGCTTGTACCTTCCGGCATCAGTCCAGGGCAAGTTGTGGACAAACCAGGGCCTTTCCTAGTACCAAACACAGTTAACTTAAAAATTAAAAATATAGAGTGAATGAGATGTATAAGAGGGGTAGGTGAACACTTGCAGGGACTGGGTAGGTTGGGTTGGATGGTGGTGTTTGGCGGGTGGAGTGAGAGACAACAAAGATGTGGCGTTGAACGGGCCTGTGTTGAAGTCAAGGCCGTACTGCTCACCAGCTCAAGGGGCGACGCCCTCGCCAACTCCCCCACCCCACCGCACACCACCCCTTCCATCGACGATCTGCCTCTCCTGTTGCCGTTGAAACTGAAGATATTGTCCCAAGTCTTCTACAGGTGGATGCACTATGATGGGTGACAGGTGAGGTGGATGAGTGTGACGTACATGAACGGTTACATTTAGATGGTATAGATGAGTCACGTGGCAGTGTCCTCCCACGGCCGGCCATCAACCCGCACCTCTTACCCCCACCTCCTGTACCCCATCCCGCCCTCACCTGCTCCCCATGCTGTCTTCACCAACACCTTCACTCATTTCTATATCAGCGATTAACATTACTAATAAGCCAGCATGAACACCATTAGCTTTAAATGCTGCTATAAGAAACTACAGACCACAAGAACGCGGTGTTACCGACGCTGACACCTATGTAGTGTAAAGCATTTCTGGCAGCAATTTATATAACACTCTTACATCTCAATAGTACACTTTTGAGGAGTATGTGTGAGCACATCTAAAGTATTTTCATAAATGCACGTGTGAAGTATGAAGTGAAGAGGTATAATATCCCTTGTGTGCGTTGGGAGTGTAGCATGTAGGATACAGTTGTGCGTGTAGGGGGTGTAGCATTATGATACACCTGTGTGAGTTGTGGCGTGTGTGTTGGGGGTGTGCATGTATTATACACTTGTGTGTGTTGGGGTGTACATGTATGATACACTTGTGTGTGTTGGGGTGTACATGTATGATACACTTGTGTGTGTTGGGGGTGGGAGGCGCCCGGGCCACTGATCCCATCCTTCCCGGGACTCTTGCGTGGCGGGGCCGTCAACCTTGAGATTTCCCCCAGCACGCCCACACAGCCGCCCTCTATCTTTGTTGCTAAAATTAATACAAAAAGTTGACAGCATTCAGGGTGTGAGTACTTCACCGGGAGGAGTCTTAAGTATCAGTCTGTAAATAAGCAAGGTTTGTTCTGTTTATGTTTTTGGCGGGAAACTGGCGAGGTTATAAACCTGTACCCTCCCCCCCACGGGTACCCCACTTCCACCCTCCCTACTCCCAACTACCCTCCCCGTCCGCCACCACACAATCCGTAACGCTTGACGCAGCAGCAGAAAATTGACCATTACAATCACCGTGGCTTCACGACGCAATAATAGTCACTGACCATTCATGTATATGTAAAAAGTTCTGAATTAGACATCTCACAAAAGGTTTTGAATGATTCTACGAAGCGCCATAATGACTAATAAACGCTGCTTCTCGAGGAGGCCAGGAGAAGGATACAGTATACACACTATTCATTTGTGTTGATGTGTATTTGAAACTTGGCAGACATAAGGTGGAATGATGAGGCCAGTGGGGAACTGTAGCCAAGAGCACGTTCACTGGTTGGGCAGGAGTCACACACCTGCTGATCAGGGCCTAACTGCGCATTACGAGGCCTCACGCTCCTCATCACCGCCCTCCAGTCAATCCTGTCCTCTTACCCATCAACACCTTCACTGTCTGATACCCCCCCCCCTACACTACTCACCCCAGGATGGCATATAATTGAAGACAAGGATACACCTAATTTGTACTGCATTACGACAACAAGAATCAGCCCCTGACCTATCACGTTTCACAACTGTATATAAAAATAACATTCGACAATACCCGTAAATTATGTTGACATTTAAGTTTTGCCATGTCTTCATTCTATCTAATTAAAATAGAGTAACCTTCAGATTGATTAAGGCGAGATCACGTACTTGTGTCACTGAACCGTGCCCACATCAACCAAGTACGAGGGAGCCGTGCTCACATCAACCAAGTACGAGGGAGCCGTGCTCACATCAACCAAGTACGAGGGAGCCGTGCCCACACCAACCAAGTACGAGGGAGCCGTGCCCTGACAACCAGTGCGAGGCCATTATGCATCAACCAAGTACGAAGAATGGCGCTCCGCATCAACCAAGTGCAGGGAGCCGTGCTCATCAACCAAGTGCGAGGGGCCGTGCTCCACATCAGCCAAATTTTCCAAGGGGCCGATATACATCAACCCAAGTGCAGGGCCGTGCTCACAACAACCAGGCGAGGGGCAGTGCTCCTCAACCAAGTGCAGGGGAGCCGTGCCCGCAACAGCCAGTACGAGGGCCGTGCTCCCTCAGCCAAGTACGGGGGCCGTGCTCACATCGGCAAGTGCAGGGCCGTGCTCACATCAACCAAGTACGAGGTACGTGCTCACATCAACCAAGTACGAGGCCAGCCGTGCAAGGTGGCCGTGCCTACAGCAACCAAGTACGAGGGAGTCGTGACCACAACAACCAAGTACGAGGGAGCCGTGCCCACAACCAGGTACGAGAGAGCAGTGCCCACACCCAAGCACGTAAGTCTGGTATCAATGACAGCCACCACCACAACACTCGACTCCTATCACAAACCTCCTTAAGTGACTCAGCTGCCTCATGTCCGGCTCCACCAGATAACCAACTCTAATAGGTTCAATAATCCACTTAACAACAACAAACACAAATCAACCTAACCAATCCCCCCTTCCTAACCTAACCTAACCTGCTCCAGCGTAACCTAGCTAAAAAAAGCAAACATTGTCTTTCCGTCATTCTGCAAAGCTTAGCAACAAAGAGTTATATTGTATTCAATAGGTCGAGGTCACCGTATGCACCAGCACGTATAGTTTGAGTGTGTGTGTGTGTGTGTGTGTGTGTGTGTGTGTGTGTGTGTCCATGACGTGTAAAACACTTCCATCTCTTGGTGTTCTTTCTAATCACGCCCCTACAGTTATTCCCTACATTATGTAGATAAGACTAAAGTATTAATTTGATTGAATAATTTGCGACATCATCATACAACGAATTTTTTTTTTTTGTCATTTAAGGAATCCTTCGCAAGTTTTCAAAGTGGTAACAAAGGGAAAATACTGTGGATTAAATGAGGAAAATACCGAAAGCTTTACCGACACTCGTGATGCAGGGAGAAAATCTGGTTATGAAGTCACGTTAGAAACATTCAAGGTGTGTGTGTGTGTGTGTGTGTGTGTGTGTGTGTGTGTGTGTCATAACCACGATAGGCGATATAGGCCCACACATAAGCTTGTAAACTTAAGTAATGTATAAGTAATGTAACTTATATGTAAGACGATAACAACAATAATAAAATAATACTAATGTAAGAACATAAGGAGTCTGCAATAGGCCGGTTGGCCTGTGCATGGCAGCTCCTGTCGAGTTACAACCACTCTCTATCATCCATGAATCTATCTAGCCTCCCTTTAAAACTTTCCAGCGTTCCAGCACTTACTACAAAGTTGCTAAGCTTGTTCCACTCGTCCACCACCCTATTTGTGAACCAGTTCCTTCCTATCTCCCTCCTAAACCTAAACTTATCCAACTTAAATCCGTTGCTCCGAGTCCTATCCTGCTTGGATATTATAAGAACTTTATCTATATCTCCTTTATTGATTCCTTTCACCCACTTAAATACTACTATCATATCTCCCCGCACTCTTCTTCTTTCTAGGGAATGCAAGTATAGTTTCTTTAATCTATCTTGATATGGAAGGTTTCTAAGTCCAGGAATAATTTTCGCCATTATTCGCTGCACCGACTCCAGTGAATTGATATCCATTCCATAATAAGGGCACCAGAACTGAACAGCATATTCGAGGTGCGGCCTGACTAGCGCAAGATATAATTGCAATATAACCTCTGCACTCTTATTACTTACACTTCTAGAAATAAAACTTAATACTCTGTTTGCCTTATTTCGAACATTAACGCACTGTTTTCCAGGCCGAAGGTCCGGGCTTACAAGTACCCCTAAGTCTCTTTCGCAAGTCGACTTCTCTAGGTTGATGTTGTTAAGACTGTATACAATATTACAACAAAAATAATCACAGTACCGGTAACAATAATAATGATAACAAAGGGAACAAGAAATAAGGAACATGACTTACACAACACAGACAAAAGCCCAAGAGTGAGCGTGGGTGTGAGTGTGGGACGTGGGTGCAGGTGTGGGTGTGGCAGGTGTGGGTGGGCGGGCAGCCACAACGGCTTAAGTGTGTCGTAATACCTAAAACCTTATCACGTGTATTACGCTTCGCTGCGGTTTACTGATAAGACAAAAATGATAACAGACACGGAAAGATAAGAAACAACTCCCTAAAACACTAAATGTATTTCGCCAAACCACCACACATTGTTCACTATTATTTAATTCTTTTTTCGTTATATTATATTTCGTTTACCTGATGATTAAACACCCTAACGTTACCTAATGGGTGGGCGAGGTGGGGAGGAAGTCGATGAATGAAAAAAACATGTGTATTCTAACTTCATACACAATGGGTTCCTTCCAGCTAACTAGGCCCGCATGACTTCTATTGACAGTGGCTGACCCTCTACCGTGGCTATTACCCCTCTGGTCCTCCCCTACTGGTTATGACCCCAGTGAGATACATCATGTGTGTTCCAGATCCGAATAACACTATTAGCTGGGCTGGACTGACACAATTTGCTCCGGAAACAACAAGATACCCCCGACATCCTTCCCCAATTTATTAAACCTTGAAATTAACCAAACTAACGGTACACTAATCTAACCTAACCTACTCAAGTATCGTTAGGGTGTTTAATCATCAAGTGGAACAAGCTGGGAGCGAATATTCAGGTGATCTTAAAGTATATACAAAAAATGAACTTTGGCAACAGGTGACATTCATACTTTGACAGGACCACTCTACCCTCCCACCATCACCACGCTCAGGCCAAGGCTCAAGATCATTGTGGCTTGTAACACTGAAATAATAATACATTGATGGTACGAAATTATAGCCCAAAGAAACGTCGAGAAGTCTTGTCCTTATCAAAGGTTGACCGCCACCTTCGACGTATTGTTACCAACTGGCCAAAACTATCTGTAAATTTAAACTTGTGTGGCGACGGTTTCTCGTGGCAGGGGAAATCACACACTCACGCCCAGATAACGTAACTTTAAATCTTGCAACACCCACAAACATTCGTGTCCCCCAACTGTTAACACGGCTTTACACTTTGTTTGCTGTGCTTAACTTCATAAACTTAGGCCTTAACAATAAGATACTTAACGTTACAAAATGAAGGAAAGTAAAGTTGGTGTGGACGAAAGTTGTTGGGCAATCATGTCCCTGTGACTGGTACGGGAACTCCCACACGTTCGCTCCGCCCCCTCAATTACGTCATCAGCCTCGCAGCTCACGTCATCAAGGACTCTGACGCACTCTCACCCCCAAATGTCCACAGCTTCCAGCGACTTACCTTAGCCCGTGT